AGTAAATTCAACAGTTTATTTATTTATTTATTTATTTTTTTTAGTAAATTTATTCATTTCATTTAAAAACAAAACGAATACTATAATACAACAAATAATACAAATCACAAATAAAATGAAAGGTAGCAGAAGAAAAAATCTTATTAATATCTGCTCCTTTTTTCCAAAAATAAATTCTAACAATAATAATCTTCAAATAACAAAGCATAACAAAAACTTCAGCTCCTTCTGGAACAACAGTTCGTATGAACACACATCATATAAATTCACATTTCTTTAACAAACTACCATTTATCATTCTCAAACAAATTTATTGAGCCAGCAATTTTATAATCACTTTCCAGATTATTCCACAGTTTTATTCCTTGGACTGAAGTACATTGATCCTTCAAATTTGTTCGAATTTTATGCTCTCTTGCTCCTTAAGATTATTATTTCTTAGAGCATGTGTAAAAGTACTTTTACTTTCCTGTTTTTTGTGAACAGTTTTATGACATTTACTAAAAGGGATCCATGATTAGTTGTAACATTAGACTTTATTTAATAAACATATGCTTTAACTGTAAAATAAAGACTGTAAAAATACTGTAGAATGTTCCGTTTTTATCAGTTTTAAACTAAAAGTTTTAAAATATATTACACGAGCAGGGCCATTTTATTTACACACAAAGCATTCTGGGTAAATGATGACATCAGCTAGGTCCTCAGTGCAAGGCTGCTAGCGAGCTATATCCACCCTGAAGGTTAATCTTGGACAATATCTGATGATCGACCTCAGCTTAGCCTGTTGGCCTTCGTGCTAGCGCCAACGCTATCACCATATGTACTAAGGTCACTGAGGTCCTCCATTCACATGACAGAGAGGGGAACACAAAAACGACTCAGCCTGTAACTGAAAATATGGATGAAGGACCTCAGTTTAGCTTGTTTGTTGCGCTAGCGTCTGTGCTAATGCTAAAGCTAACAGGCTAAGCTGAGGTTCTTCTTCCATGAAGCAGCTCTGTTGTCCTTCATCCATATTTTCAGTTCCAGGCTGAGTCATTTCTACCTTCTCCTCTCTGTCAACGCTCTCTGGTTTCATTTAAAAGAGHCGATCATCAGATATTGTCCAAGATTAACCTTCAGGGTGGATATAGCTCGCTAGCAGCCTCGCACCGAGGACCTATCCACGTCATCATTTACCCAGAATGCTTTGTGTGTAAATAAAATGGCTCCATCCGTGTTAAAATATATTTTTAAAAATTTTCAAAACTAAACAGCCTACAGTATTTTTACAGTCTTTATTTGATAAACATTTATTTCAACTGTAAAATAAAGTCTAATGTTACAACTAATCGTGGATCCCTTTAAGTACTTTTCTCCTAAGTGAAATTTACTTATATCAGTCATTTTCTGTTAAGGTATTTTTACTTTTAGTTATTTTTTTCAAATACTTAATAGACCTCTGCTATTAGAGTCAACTCTGTTTGTTGGCAAAATATCTCATGAGCCTTTGGACTGATATTGAAGTTTTCAGTCAGTGATGATTGAAGGTACATCTACAGCTGGTTTAGTTTCAACCTGGTTCAAGATGGCCACCATGGTTATTTATCCGGAGTCATATGAGAAATGGCTGAAGCCTGGTTAGTTTTCAGAGACTGAGTGAGTTAGTGTGGTGTGGTGGTCCTAACTGCACCTGCTCGTCATAAGATGATTCTAGTTTTTTACTGTACTGTCAAAGTGTTTTGCAGTTTTCTGTCTGATGTGTGGGTCTTTCTGTTATAGCTGGTCTCTTGTGGACTCCTGGAGACACTGAAGTTCAGTGTGCTGGAGCTACAGGAGCACCTGGACACGTACAACGCCAAAAGAGAGGCAGCAGAGCTCGTAAGTCACCGCATCTTATCCTTCATGTATCATCTGGCAGATGTGCTTCCAGATGCTCTTTGAAAGGTTTCTCTCAGCACATCCTGAAGGTCCATATCATGATGCGACTATCATCATTTAGTTCATGTGCTGAGGAAACATTAAAATTCCCTTCATCTCTGCAGTGGCAGGACTGGGAGAACACGAAGACAAACAAGTAACAGTAAGAGATAAGGCCATGCTGTCTCCTCAGGAAGACAGGCACTGAATCATATTAGATATGAGTAGATTTAGCTGCTGTTAGTGCYTGCATCACTACTGGAGGGATAAAAATAACCCTGAGCGCTACTAGCTCCTCTCTAGAAGGCCAGGCGGGAGAAGCTGTGAGGGAGGGGGAGGGGATAAAGAGAAATTAGATTGCAGTGGGTTTTAGGATGCAGAGGTGCAGATTGAATGAGACAGCAATGTTCTTAGGAGGTCTAGATACCGTCCTGTGTGTGAGAACAATCTCATTCTGGACTATTTGTTCTTATAAACACACTAATATATCTCCCTGAAAAAAACAACTGTTTTTCCCTTTGTTTCCCCGTCTCTTTCTCTAAAACTGTGTATTTATGTCTCTGCTGTCCTTTGTTTCACCTCTCACCCTGCAGTGGCTGGAGAACTGCAGAAAAACCTTCGGGGACAAAGACAGCAGTCAGCGACCCATTACACATGCACAGGTAGGAACAGATCCTRGCAGTCAAAATAACTTTTATCTTTTGTGTTTTTGTGTTGAACTGCTCTACTCTCAGGTTTGTATTTAAAACTACTGTGGAAATACTATAATTATCTGGTGACTCTGATCCTCCACATCTAAAGGAGTCAGTTGAGGGGATTTAGACATCCTATAGATTAAAAGTTGTAATGTTCATGGAATATTCAAATGTACAGCAACACCATGTCTTCTGTCAGTTTAGTGTCTTGGAGCCAGATATCTGTTTACAGACTGTGTACTGCAAACTGTCTAACTTATATTTGTCTTTTCTCCTCGACCTTTCTGCTCACATTCCCCTCTGTTTCACACTTAAAAGAATTATTCCATTTTAGAAAACCTTAAATTAAGTTACTGTTTTATAACTCAGCGATACTATTTTTACTGTTTCTCTGTGTAGCTTCTCCTCCACCATATCTTTCTCTTCCTTTTTATATCTGCTGGTATTTTGCTTTCCATATACAGGTGCCAGTCATAAAATTAGATTATCATGATAAAGTTGATTTATTTCTGTAATTCCATTCAAAAAGTGAAACTTGTATATTATATTAATTCATTACACACAGACTGATATATTTCAGGATATATTTCAAATGTTTATTTCTTTTAAAGGGGCAATATCATGTAAAATCAACTTTTTTGAGTTTTATATCATGTTATAATGT